ATAGCAACATGCACTGTGATAGAGAGCCCAAGAGCCTGCACAAATTCCCTCTGACAACACAAAAGTTGGTTTCTAACCTTTAGATACAAGACCTAGAGGGAGAAAAATATGTATCTCAACAGTGACCTCTAGTGGACAAGTCTTAAAACATTGTCTCCAAAAGAAATTCCTCTTAAAAATGAAAACAAGTAGAAAAGCATTCACAAAGCTAACACTCCCAAACACCTTAAAACCCGGGGATCAGAGAAAGGAGCAGATTGAAAAAGACTCTTCTGACACTGGCTTAAAAGGGAGAGTAACTACAGAGGCAAGGGGCAGGAAGTGGGGCGGGGAAGAGACATGGGAAGATAACCCTTGGCACAGTTGCCACCTTCCTTTCTAGAGGAACACTCAGGGCAAGCCAGCTCTTGAGTGCATCCTCTCAGCGTTAGCACCACTCACCACCTAAGCAATACACAAACCAGCCAATACGAACTAAGGGCCTATGTCATGGCCAACATGTTATGGGCACTTCAATGGGCATGGAATATGAAATAAGTATATGGTAAGGTCCCTAGCCTCCAGACACTCAAAATATAATTCATTGTATGAGGAAATTAGAAAATAATTTGGGGTCTTAAATATATATAACTAACTTTAAGTGGAAGGGGAACAGGTCCAGATCCCCATGAGACCTGGGGTAGTAAGAGATGGCTTTCTGGAAGAAATGATGTTGAGTGAAAGCTCAGCAGAGACCATTAGGGTTGCTGGGAGGAAGAGAGTGCCCAGGGGTGGTTATGATACCTGTCTCTTGGCCTGCGGGCCCTTGGGCACCTAAGTAACACTCCCACAGCACATCATGTCTTAGCTATAATGTGATGCAAAGTCAAGATGGACCTCAATTTCTTGGACACAAGGTCATGCATTTCCTTTTGTTTTTGTTTTATTTTTTAGAAACAGGGAGGGTCTCACTCTGTTGCCCAGGGTAGAGCACTATGGTGCCATCATAGCTCACTGCAGGCTTGAACTCCTGGGCTCAAGCGATACTCCAGCCTCAGTCTCCCAAAGTGCTGGGATTGCAGGCATGAGCCACCACACCCAGCCTTGAGGTCATGTATGCTCACAGTCAGCCGGGTTCAGTGGCTCAGCCTGTAATCCCAGCACTTTGGGAGGCCGATGCGAGTGGCCTGAGCCTGTGGGTTCTAGACCAGCTGGACAACTTGGCGAGACCTCGTCTCTACAATAAATCAAAAATTAGCCAGGCGTGGTAGTGTATGCCTCTAGTTCCAGCTACTTGGAAGGCTGAGACAGAAGGATCGTCGAAACCCCACAGGTTGACGCTGGGGTGGCTGTGAGTGTGCCACTGCACTCCAGCCTGGGCGACAGATGAGACTCCAACTCAGAAATAAATAAATAAATAAAAGGAGTGCTCACAGTCCAGCATGTTTGAAAGAAGCACACAATGAATAAGGAACAGAAGTCTGTGGCAGTCACATCTACTCAAGTCCCAATGCCAGTTCATCCTGATGTAACTACCTGGTCCCAAAGTTCTCCATTTCTTCTCCAGCCTTCCCTGACATCTGTGTGCCTCCTTTGAGCAACAAACACACAGTTTACACAGGTAATTACTGGGAAGTCACTATGTGCGCGGCAACTGGCATTAAGGAAGAACACAAGACGGTCTCCACTTTCACAGAAGCCAAATATGTTTGGAGAGAGAGAAGAAACACGAAGCCAGAGAAGGACACAGAAGTGCCGCAAGGGTGTTAGAGTCTCCATGAGAAGCCAGAGTTTGGAGAAGGTGGGCCAGAGAGTGGGGAGAAGATAGGGGAGGCTGGTGCATGGGGAGGAGGGAGCGAGAGAGGCCGGCAGGGAGGTCAGGCTGGTGAGGGATGTGTGGCTGGATTAGGGCAGCAGGAGAGAGAGAGAGAAACAGAGAGAACAAATCTTCCACCAGAAGACTGCAGCATTGAAAACTGGCTCGGGAAAAGTGGGATTTCCAAAAGGCTCTTTAGTCTAAAACTCTTCCCACTGGGCCAGAAAGAACCTCTTTTGGGCTCAAAATCAAGACTTGCTCAACCATAGAAAAAAGGCAGAAAAGAAAGATTCACTCATTACTCTTCCTCCCATCTCCTTAAATCATGAATATATACATACCTAGGAAAGGTGCTGGAGACAGATTAATTTCCTCATTGACTTCAACACTGCCCCAATCCCCAGGCTTAAATTTAAATAGTTTCACCATCACAGTGCTGAAGCACTAGCAATTAGCTTAGCAGTACTGAAATATTTTTATCAACAGCAGTATAGAAAACATTGGAATTTCTAGCCAGATATGGTGGCTCATACCTGTAATCCCAGCACTTTGGGAGGCCCAGGTGGGAGAATTGCTTGAGCCCAGGAGTTTGAGACCAGCCTGGGCAACAAAGTAAGACCTTGTCTCTAGAAAAATTTTTTAAAAAAATTAATTGGGCATGGTGGCACATGCCTGTAGTCCTAGCTACTCAGGAGGCTGAGGCAGAAGGATTACCTGAGCCCAGGAGGTCGAGGCTGCAATAAGCCATGATTATGAAACCCCCACCAATAAGTAAACACAACCTCAGAAATCCCCATCTTCAGCTTCTTCATGGCCTCACTTGTACTGCCTTGAGTGAATTTGTCAAGGTCAAAATCACTAGCAAAAGAAGGAAAGTCAACCCAGTACCATACTCTTCAATGCCCCTGCAGATATTAACTCAAGTAAGTGGAATCAAATGGTGATCCCTAAATCAATATCCCAGTTTGAACAAGCCAGTCATTCATTCCATGAGTACATAAGTGGAAACGTCAGACAACAGTGTAATTGGCACACTAAGAGAAAAACACAAATACTTTTGCAAGATAAAAGCAGTGCCGAGGGGTTTATCTTTTGAGTCCCAGTGGTTTTAATGTAGCAATGTTAACCAGTCCCTATTAAAAACAACAGAAAGTGAAAGACACTGATTACAATAAAAAGTGACAGGAGGGTGTGCTCAGACACTTACATTTAATGAATATTTATATTTCCATCAAATGGACATATTTACTATAAACAGTTGAAAAACCATAGCAAAGTCATTCATTTAAATGCCAGAAAATAGTAAAAGATGCTAATTTGACCTTAGTGAAACAGATCAGATGTCACTGACACCACTCACAATGGCTTGAAACAGAATTTACCAGGACAATTAATTAGAGTTTCCTGGATTAGGTCATGAGTGTCTCATAAGGAATGGGAAAAAAAAAAACAGTCAAGAAAGAAATATGAAGTTTGGGTTCTTTCAAAGTCAATCTCTTGAATGGCCAACACAATTTCACTCTGTTTACACCTCTCTTAATTAATCTAATATTAATCCCAGGAGAAAGAAACTGGTCCACAGATTCCCTGAGATTTCTACCTTTGAGGCCATGTAAAAAGAAATGAACAACTATTGGAAAGATTTTTTAAAGAACAGATCAATGGATGATACAACAGGGACGAAGTGGGCTTTGCTTTCTCGTGTAAACAGAAACTGGTTCTCTGTAACCATGGCAGAGCTCTAACAATGGGAAGTTTAGCAATTAAGAAATACTTTTATGAACTACATGACAGAGAGCATCCGTTATTTCTGCTCACAGAATCTTGGGGAATTTAGGGATCATGCCATCCACCCTTCAAAACAAACCGCAAATCTCCTCTGAACTGGAATCAGGGTCTCTGTGGACTGCAGGACCATTTGCTTTAAAAACAATGGAAGTGACAACATATCACCTGTTAAAACAATAAGCACACGTGGCGAGCAGGTCTCACTTTCAGCTTCTGTGACCACCACTTAAAGGTGATAACTGGGACACTCTGCCTTTGCCTTCCAAATATGCACTTTGGCTAACAACAAACTAATCTGCCTATTTCTTGCACACGAGGGGCTCTCGCTGCCACTCTTAATTCTCAGTAATCAACAGCTCTGTGACATTGCTTCGAGCTGCATGTAATGTACACACACACATAAATTCATGACACAAATCCCTCAATATGACACTCTACTCAATTTCAGTGGACTCGGAAAGCTCCCTAACAAATTCTTGCCACATGATTAGAAAATCATTCAAGTCTGCAGGAAATACGGCAAGCACAAAGAAGTGACAGTCAATTAGGAATGAGAAAGTGGGTCCCTGTTGTTAAAATCTTTAAAGTCGCAGCTCTAAGAATAAAATGGCGCATCGTGCACACAAAATATTCTTCTAACAACAGATTTTAATTCCACTGTATGGCAACCATACCATGTCACCAATAATGCCCAAGATAATGTTGCTGGTTTTTCCCCTTGGGAAACCAGATTCAAAAATCTGAAAAATACAGATGCAAATCTATATAATTTATATAACTTTGTGTTTTCTCCCCTGTTAGGCAGGGAACAAAAGCATATTCAGCAGTTCAATTTTTCCCTTTTAAGGAAGAAATAGAAAACAAAAAGCTCATTCTAATATTTTTCAATAAGTAAGTTTTTCTCATAAAATGCTAGCCAACAGCCTGGCAGTTCAGGTCACCATAGCATTCACTTATTTATTTTATCCGGGAAGGTCACCACACTGGACTAATTTTTTTATTCTTTCGTAGAGGTGAGGCCTCACTAGGTTGCTCAGGCTGGTCTTGAACTCCTGGACTCAAGCAATCCTCTCTCCTCGGCCTCCCAAAGTGCTGGAATTACAGGTATGAGCCACTGCACCTGGCTACATTTACCATTTCTGAATGAAACAGCTTCCAGAAAAGCAGTGTCATTTTCTCTCTTAACAATTCCTCCAAACATATTTTATACACACAAGAAAGAATCTTCAAAGTAGAGCAAAGTACAAAATACAGAAAGACAATATACTCATGTTAATGTCACCAAAATAAACTTTAGGTCTCCCCCAAGTAATCGCCTGTCATTAGCTTCTTCAAAGGAAACAGCCATGGAAATCAGCAGTACCCTATTAGGACCTAAAAGTCAGAAACTGTGTAACAAATGAGAAAGATCACTTACTTGTTAGCTTGTTGTGGCTGAGCACCAGTTGTGTGATATGGGCTAAGGAAACTAAAAAGAAAGGAAAAACAATCACACAGTCAGTAAGTGTATCCACATTATACCTACACACCTGCAAGGTAAACTGCTAAATTATTTTCACACGTTGAAGCGCTATCACTCACCAACATGTGAGCTAGGATTCTTATAACACTCTCTGTTAAATGTTAAACCAAATGAAGAAAAGTCATGCAATTAACAGTGCAGTTAGCACAGCAAGTTAGAGTTAATGAGATGGATGTCACGAGATCAAACATGACAAGGGCCAGTTAGCTTTGCTTGGCAACCTGGTCTGCCTGCCTAACCCTGGCGATCCATCTCAATTACGCGTGCCAGTCAGAGGGACCAGCCAAGAGCGCAGAGTGGTACAAAGGCCTTACCTGTGCTTTAAAATAAAAATTAAAAATGCCACCCCATCCAAACAAGAACATCATCTAACAGAAGGCCGGTGGCGTATGCCGCATCTATGTGCATCATCCTTCCAGAAATTCTTCTACAGGCTATCAGATGATCAGAGTAAAAACCCTTCACAATTTCCTCTAAACATATTTTGGTTGACATTTCAAAGCACTGATTTGAAATGCAGATTGCTCTCCAGCTTCAAACATTATCATGGAGGTTTAATCTGCTCAACCAGATTAGGTTTGCTTAAAGAATGGTTTTTTTCCGACTGAAAAATATATATATGTGTGTATACAGATCCACAAAAATAAAAGAGAGGAAAGAGAGAGAGAAGTGACCTGCCTTCAACTTTGAGTTCTAAAACTTTACTGTAGGCCGAGCATGGTGGTAGCTCCTGCCTGTGGTAGATCATGCCGGCACTTTGGGAGACCCAGGCAAGAGGACTGCTTGAGCCCAGGAGTTCGAGGCCAGCCTGGACAGCCTCATCTCTACAAAAAGTTATAGCAAAGCGACGTGGCACACACCTGGAGTCCCAGCTACTCAGGCGGCTGAGGCAGGAGGATCTCTTGAGCCCAGAAGATTGAGGCTACAGGGAGCAAAGATCACATCACCACACTCCAGCCTGGGTGACAGAGGAAAACTCAGTCTCAAAAAATAAAAATAAAATAAAAAATAAAACTTTACTGTATAGGTCAGCATTTTATATCCAACAAATTAAGAATTTTTTCCACTGTTCATTATCCAAGAATATTCTATTAAGGATGTAGAGTTTTTCCCTTAAAGACAATTTTTTTTCTTAGGAAGGGTCTCAGTGTTGGAGTCCAGCACACTTTGAAGAAAATTAGTATTTGCCAACCCTGACCACAACTTTTGCGTGTTTTGTTTTCTTCTTAACAAAAACAAACAAACAAAAATAAAACACTTTACAAAGTTATAGAAAAGTTCAAAATATAATACAAAGACCTGTTTTCCAGGCCTGAACCATTGAGATTAAGCTGCTGGCCTGATGTCTCATAAACTTTAGGGAATATTTCCAAAACCATTCTCTTACGTAACTTCAGCACAACTATCAAAATCAAAAAGTTAAACTGGGGTACACTGACCATCTAATCCTCAGCCCCATCCAAGTTTCACCCAAGGACCCAAGTTTCACCAAATGGCCCAATAATTTCTTTTATGAAGGAAAAAGGGTCCAGCTCAGAATCCACACTGCAGGTCACTGTCAGGTTTCCATCAGCTCCTTCAGTCATAAGGTTTCCCTTTCCTTGACTTTCATGAACTTGGCCATTGTGAAGACTGCAGGCACAATTGTTTTGCATGATGTCCTTCCATGTGAGTCTGGCATTTATGGATTCTAGATTAGATTTCGGCCATGCATCTTTGCAGAGACACCACAGAAATGCTGTGTTCCCCTCATCGCATCCTATCCGGGGCACACAACTTCAGTTGTCCTATCACTGAGAACCTTCCCTTTGATCACTTAAGTCTGTCCAACTACTCTATTGCTAATTTGTTAATTGCCTCCTTTGTAAATAGTAAGTATTCAGGGAGGAAGAGGAGGAAGGGTGTGACTATCAAGCTGGGCAGAGTAGCTCATGCCTATGATCTCATCACTTTGGGAGGCTAAGGCAGGAGGATTACTTGAGAGCAGAAGTTTGAGAAGTTTGGAAACAGAGTGAGACCCCATCTCCACAATTTTTTTTTAAGTAGCCGAGTATGGTGGCACATACTTGTAGTCTCAACTACTTGGCAGGCTGAGGTGGGAGGATGGGCAACAGGCGAGAACCTGTCTCTAAAAACATATGTTTCCTGTTTCCCACCAAATTCTAACTTTATTCATCTGTCTGTGGTTTCCAGTCATGGGATATCTGACAATGTCTAGAAACATTTTTTATTATAATAACATTTTTTATTGTAACATTTTTTGTTATAACTATGGCCATTAGAAAATCTAAAATTTCATATGTGGCTCGTGTTCTATATCTATTTGATATACAGCACTGGTCTAAAGCACTGGCCTAGTGGGCGGAGACCAAGGATACTGAAATGTAGCCTGAAACACACAAGGCAGCCCAACCCATGACAACCAATTACCCAGCCCAAAATGTCAACAGTATTGCTGCTGGAAGATCGTGATTGGTTTATTTATATCTGCCTGGCTTTGTGGTTTCCCATTTTAGACCATGAATTATCATCTATCATAATTATTTACATTGATGCTCAAATTATCGCTGATTCGTCCAGTGGAAGTCTATCCAAGCTGGCTTCCAAGTCCTTTTGACAGGTCCCCTCATTCTTTGAACCCTTCCTTGATTTCTGACATGAGATATTCAGGCTTATTCTGTACTTTTTCTGACACAGCTCTGGAATCAATCATCTCTCCAATGGGTTCTTCTTCCTTTTTGCAGGGAGTGGGATTCATAAACCAAAATCCGGGCATGAGATATGCTCATTGCTTTGGGGAGAAGGGGTCAGTACTCCCAGATCCTCTCAGTGAACGGAGCAAGGAAATACACACACACACACACACACACACACACTCCTAAGATCTATATTTCACACTCCTAAGATCTATATAATAATATATTTATATTATTAAAAACCATTAAGTTTGTATTTATATTCTTAAAGATCCTAAGTTTACTCCCAACATACTCAATTCCAAAACATCACAAAGCTCATTCTAGTTTTTTCCCTTTTCATATTTGTAATTCTCTCCTCTAACAGTGAGGACTCTGACTTCCATTGTCTTTAACCTATTTACTCATTTAATCAATACCCCCCCCCATATAACAGCATAAAATGGTGTTATATCAGCCGGGCTCGGTGGCTCAGTCTGTAATCCCGTGCCTTTGGGAGGCTGAGGTGAGTGGATTGCCTGAGCCTGCGGGTTTGAGACCCGCCTGGGCAGCGAGACCCCATCTCTACAATAAATCAAAAAATCAGCCGGGCGTGGTAGCGCATGCCTGTAATTCCGGCCACTTGGGAAGGCTGAGGTGGAAGGATCGCCGGAGCCCAGCAGGTTGAGGCTGCGGTGGCCGGGAGCAGCCACTGCACTCCAGTCTGGGTGACAGAGTGAGACTCCAACTCAAAAAAAAAAAAAAAAAAAAATGGTGTTATATCACAGCAAGACCGGGACTGCGCCATGCTCATCTGTACAACCTGGAAGTCTAGGACTGATTCTTAGTCAAGACAAGGAGGAGCAGGCCAGCTTCAAGTTGAAAACATCCCTGGTTGTCATCAGGCCCAGCTCGCTGAGACCGCTTAGGGAGGTGCAGATCAATGCCCACATCTGGTCACATGGCCTAGGTCGGTTACGTGGCCAGTCAAGCACAGAAGACACAACTGGACATTTTTAACCAAGCTCTCCTGAAACGAAGATTCCTTGCAATGATGGTTCATAATCTGGAGATGAAATATGTCCTGTGCCACTAAGGAGTACTCTGGAGAGCTGCATCAGTGAGCCTCTTGGGCCACTGGTGTTTACCTGTGCTTTCTTCTTCCTGCTGAACCATGTCCTGTGGCTTTAGAAAGTCTCAATGTGAGGAGATGCAAAAGTCCTTTCAATTATCCAATAACACGCACCACTGCAGTAATCAAGCTCCCCCGCCACCTTCCTCCTCGCCCTATACTCAGATGCTGACTCCACACCAGGACACCCTACACTGGGACACCCTTCTCACCCTGCCTGGATGTTCTCCTAGTCCACTCAAGCTCTAGTGTCCCACCCCAGGCCACTTCGGATCGAATTGTTAGAAAAGGATAAAGAAAGAGGCCATGGAAAAGAACATTTTTTGTGTTTTTTTAAAAAGAATCAGGGTGGTGGCTTCCCATACAATGTTTAAGATTCTATATGCTGCAGAAAACTCCCACGTTTGTATTGGTAAGATGTAAGATTTTCTTGTCCACCAGATAAAACGTTCCTCTATCTCAGAGATGCACAGTCTGCATGAAAAACATTTAAAAAAAAAAAAAAAGATTAAATAGAGTCATAGATGTATTAGTTAAGATTATGCTCACCTTCATGTGATAGCAAACCACAAATTACAGGGGTTCCACAAAACAGGAGTTTCTCTCTCTCTTACACATAGGCAGCCCAGAAATCCCTGATGTCTTGCTAAGTCATCCTCTGTGCATGGCTTACATGTGTTATAGACTGAATATTTGTGTCCCTGAAAAATGTATAGATTGAATCCCTAATCCCCAAAGTGATGGGATTTGGAGGTAAGACTTTCAGGAGGTGATTATGTCACAAGGGTGAGATTAGTGCTCTTATAAGAGGACATGAGAGAGATTATCTCCATCTCTATCATTTGAGGATACAGCAAGAAGGTAGCTGAATCCTCAGGAAGAGAGCCCTCACCAGACACCAAATCTGTTGTCACCTTGATCTTGAACTTTCTAATCTTCAGAACCGTGAGAAAAAAATTTCTGTTGTTTAAGCCACCCAGTGTATGATATTTTTGTTAGAGCAGCCAGAACTAAGTCAAACCTCATGGTCCAAAATGACAGCCTGAGTCCAGCTATCATGTCTAAATTTCTCTTAGGAAGAAGGAAAGGAAAAAGAAGGCTTCCTCCTTCAGGATACTTTCAAGGAGTTGTACATGACA